GAAGGTATGTCCGCAAACGCTTTGTTTAGAAGATATTCACACCTAAAGATTTTCGTTGTTATGAATTATTTACGTGGTATAAAGTAAATAAAACCTATTTATTTGTTCAAGCTACTTTATTAATTAAATGTAAACGTTAATATTCTTATCAAATGTTGTTCAAAGTGAAGGTATGTCCGCAAATGCCTCGAGTCAATACAATCGGGCACATTTCTGGAATTTCTTAATAATGATTACTATGATTTAGTTAAACATATTCTACTACAACTGAGAAGGAACACGTGGCTTCAATTAGATGGTTGTCCTGCAGATTACGAAAGGGGTCCACGACAATGGCTAAATGTTAATTATGCCAATCAATGGATTGGCCATGCAGGACCAGTGGCTTGGCCTGCACGCTCTCCAGACCTGACACCACCGGATTTTTCAATGAACTTAATTTCTTACGAACAAGGACCATTGAATCTTGTGAAACAATAACACATATCTAGTGCCGTTCTGCCACTGCTGTTGTTGAAGAAAGATGCCGAGCCTGTCTTAATGCTCAAGAAAATCACTTTGAACAACATTTAATATGAATGTTAATATTTAGATTTAATTAATCAAGTAGTCAGAACAAATAAATAACTTTTATTTACTTAATATAACGTAAATAATTGATAAGAATGAAAATCTTTAGGTGCGAATATCTCCTAAACAAAATGAAAATGTTTAGATCCTCATAACAAAAGTCCTCATAACTTTGTCGAGAACAACGTTGAAGAGAATAGGTGACAGTCCGTCCCCTTGTCTCACACCGGTTTTTATCGGAAATGGTTTGCTATATATATATATATATATATATATACTTATAAACATTCTAACATTATATACATTATTTAAAAAGTAGTATGTAACCACTAAAAAATAAAAAAAAAATACATATATATGTTTTTTTTTTTATTTTTTAGTGGTTGCATACTACTTTTTAAATAATGTATATAATGTTAGAATGTTTATAAGTTAGTTTTTGGCCAGATTTGTATTTTATTTTTGTATTAATTCATCATTGTCATTCTAAGGGGACTTAGTCCCAGAATAAAGTTCAATTTTCTATTCTATTCTATTCTAAACATATAACATATATATAAATATAATAGTTTCAAAGAGGTTCCATCATATATATAATGTAAGGTTTGGCAGTGATGCTGATTGAACTATCACTTCACCAGAGTATGGTGGTGGATGGCTGACCTGGTTGGGTCGATGCGATCTGGGCGGAGATGCGTATAGATTGCCGAGTTGTCTCTTATATCTCTTGGACTCACTTGCTACTCCAAATCGACACCGTCATCGGCTTCAAGAAACACCAATATACCATCTGGATGTCCATGAGGATCGGGCAGAAGCCTAAGTTTCATTGAGCAGTTCAGAGCGCAGGAGTGAGTGGATATCGATCGAGTCCCAACAGGTAACACAGCCACATCCCTTCCAGCCTCTTGCCAACAGGTTTGTATCTCAGCTCTTCTCTTGTATATCTATATATATATATATACTTCAAGTCATTTCGTTATTACATTTATAGCAACAACTTATATAATTTGTATGATATAAATACCGATGTCGTTTCATAAAAACTATAAAATACTCATATTAAACATACATTGTGCTGTTCATTGAGAAATCCCTTCATTATAAGACGATCTCTACACTATTTATAAATTATATCATTGAAACAAAACCTATATTTAAAAATATATATAAGTCATATGTAATGAAACTAAATTATAAAAAATTGTAAATCATCTGATTTTATAATTATTTTTCTTATTAAAAAATATATTACATTGGAATCATATGATTCTATATAAATTTTGTAATAAGTGTTTTTTCCATATTTTTTATCACATTTTAATGTTCTCCCTTGAAAAATCATGTTTAAATCATCTGCATATATATATTTTAAATACACAATATCCATAGACAAAACATAAAATTGTACAGCTTCGGTTTATTGTAAGAAGTCATCAAGTTCATAACTTTATATAACGATAAATAAACATATTGAGTCTACTAAAATTATACTAGCCTTTTTTTTTTTTCTTTTCTTCAAATATTGTTACAATAAGATCTCATTTCTTTTATTTTTCAAAGGGAAAATCTATTAAAATTATTAGGTATTTAAGATTATGAAATGTGTTAAAATATTGCTTACTTTTTTACAATAATCTGACGATATTGATCATTTGGTTTATTAAAGTAATTTATTAACGTTTAATAAAAAACACAATACTATTACGAATTTTTGTTCCGTTTTGTACTTGCTTTAATTATATCTTATATATATATAATAGGGCTTGTTTCATTTTGATGCATTTACAGTAAAAACAAAAATAATTTGAAATTTATTAAACATACGTCAAAGTTTAACTCCATCAAAATTTTATTTTTTTCTATTAACTGATGATATGTATTATTCATAATTAATTTAGTTTTAACAGAAAATTATAGTATAATTATTTTCGCTCGTATTTAAAAAAAAAAGATATTTTTTTTCCGCTTGAAATGTACAATATGTTACCCAAGCTTCCAGCAGCCATCTTGATGTAGTATAGATTTTAATGGCACTAGCGATTAAAACTTCACCATTTTGGAAATAAAATTTTGAGTTTATTTAATATTTAACATCAATTGAACATATTGTTGTGGCTTTTCTCTATAATTCAGTTTGAATTTCACTACGCCCTTATCATATCATATCAAATTAATAATTTTATTACTGATAACATCTCAGCTTCCGTGCTGACCTCTAAAATACAAAATTTTTCATTGAATTATTTTATTTATATTTAAGTTACGTTTTATTATCAATAGTGGTTAAAGGATATATCAAGTTAAGATTATAATGTTCAATAAGTAACGTGAAATATTAATTATGTTGCTCATTTCTAAAGTGAACCTTAATCGATTTTTATCGAAATTATAATTATCGATTCCTATGTAAACACCAAATTAATCCGACGGTGCAGTTATTTTTTTTTTCTCAAAAACACTTAAATATTTATATAAGTGATATAAAAATGAATTTATTTCCAAAACTTTTTTTTTCAAGGATTGTAAAGATCTTGCTTTTTTTAAGTACTCTTAAAAAAAGAATTTATTAACAGATTATCATTAATAATACAAAAACATATTGTTTTGTTTTTTTTCTTTCGCGAATCATACACCATTTTTCTTTCCGGATCTTGAAGTTCGATTCATTCCAAAAGCGGCCCTGTTTAAGTTTAAATGTTATTTAATTACTATTGAAATAATCAGTTTTGAAAATATTTGCTACAAATAAAGAGAATATTGTAAATGACGATTACAATCCATATTGCATCTTGGAAAATATTGAACAACCACACCCATGACCTGTATTGTTGAATTGACCCCTTCGTGGATAATGAAGATGAAATGGTTATTTATTTATTTAATTATTATAAGTGATCATCAAGATTTGTCACCAAATATACGTTTTAAAATAAATATGCGTAAATAAATAAATAAAAGATTTCTTCAGACTCCACTAATTTCTACTCTGTGTAGTTGTGAACAACATTCTTAATCTTCTGTCTATTAGGTTTTTTTTTTATAAATGTTGTGCCTTATATTTCAGGCCTTTGTGCATATTAGTATCCAGTATATCTTTTTTATTTTTGTCTGCTCAAAAATCTCTATTTTATATTAGGAAAACAGGAGGTTACAGGAGTTCAACACATATATAACGAAATGAATAGTTATATATGAGAGCTTCTGTAATATCCTACTCTCCTCATACTAAAATAAAATAAAATATGATCTTTTCCTATAATAGAAAGAAAAGAAAATCACTATAGTATGGAAGTATTGAAATTAATTTAATCTATTTCCTTAATCTTTTAATGAACATCATTGTTTTTTTCTTTTTTTTTGTAATAAAAATTGATCATATTACATTTCTTTGTGAACTATTTGATTCTTTACAGAATATTTTAGGTTCTGTTAAATTAAACTTATGTCTATTTTTAATATTGAGGTGGGCTATATGAGAAGATTTATTATCCAATTTAAAACTATTTGAATCCTTGAGGTATTTACCCTATTTTGGAAAATAGTAAAAACTAGTAGGCCCGTGCGAAACATTTGCACAGCATATTGTTAAGTAATAAAATGTCAAATTAATAAGAAAATAAAATAATGTAACATATCATAAGATAAAAAACTCAATTGTGACTTTATCGATAAATAAAATCGACAAAGGGAACAAAAATTAATTTAAAACTTTATTGATGTTTGGAACCAACATGTTTACAAATTTCAATAAGCTGTATCTTTGCTAAAAATTGTCTGATTTCGAAGATTTTTTTTTCTTTTTGTAGGGAATTTTAGTAATCTTTTATATAATCCGTGGCATAACAAAGAAATTCATAAGAAGTTCAAAGAAATGGAGAAATTCAATTGATGAAATTTGATTTCCTGTCTTATAAAATCAATGTGACGGGAATAACATCTGTTACTAAGGGAGGTGATTTGAAAAAGACCACGCTCAACCGCTAGGTTTTTAATTGATCATTTAATCAAGAGTGCCCTCTTTATACAGGATGGGTGAGCCCTACGAGGGTCCTCTGACCTCAAGGTCGGTATAACAGATTAAATAATTTTCTATTTCTGGCGGACTCGAATTCGAGACACATACATTGACATAGAAGCATAGTGCTTTACTCATTGAGCTACTCCCTGCTCCCTTTCAACGGATTAGGTAGTCATTTTTGGTTTCTGTTAATTGCAAGTATGTTGCTTAATCTATGTTTTCAGGATACAGCTATCTTCGGAATCAAAAGTAGGTGTTCTTATTAAGCATTCGGGGGCAGTATTTTATTATCGATTTGTTCTTTTTCCGTCACTTATGTATTGTCTTCAGACGATTCAATCTATTTTATTTATTCACCGTAATATATTTAGTTTCATCATTACATAAATGTATTTTTTATGTAATATTGCAGACATGGGGATGATATTGAAACTTGTGGTGCAGATTTTCTGCCTCAGCGTTGTAGCTTTCGCCATACCCGTCAGCCTTCTCGAAGACATCAAAGATGCACAACTGCAATCTCCATTACGAGCTAACAAAGGTACTTTATAATAATATATTATGTATTATTAATTATATACATAATTATGTTTATTGTATAATTATTATAAGTCGCTTCTCAATGCATGACTTGCACGTATTAATCGGTGATGATTAAATTATATTAATAAAAAGTTATGAATTTTTCTGTTGCATATTTGCATCAGCTATTGCAAATTTGAAAAAAAAAATGTTGACTCATGTTTTTTACTCTTTTTTTATTAGCTAACTCTTGATTGCTTTGTTCTACGATTAAGTCATGAAAAGTTTTTAATTGAATACTTAACAGTTGACCGTTGCATTATTAAGGAAGGAGATGGTGCGGGGTGGCGGTCATAAATAGACTAAATTGTGGCAAAATTATTTTATTAAAAGCCAACGTTTCGGCCCGACTTTGCAGGTCTTCTTCAGGGCTAGAACGGAGAAGATAAAAAAAAAAAGATATAGAGAATTGTGGCAGTTACATCATATTTAGACGAAAAATTATAAACAATAAACTTATTAAAATTATAAACCTAATAAGCTAAGTAACAAGATCCTAAAGTGAAGCAAATAGATGGTAACAATTGTTGTAGCATAATATATGCAATTGTGAATATACTTCTACAGATCTACAGGAGATATTGGAAGAAAACGAAAAAGGATATAATATGAAATAATGGACATAAAGGGATGTGGAGAAAGAAAAGAAAAAAGTAACCAAAAAAAATAAATTAATAAGTAAATCAAATTAGAAGAATAAAAATAGGTACTTCCAGGTGTGTTCGACAAGGAGTTTCACTTAAAACTGGAAAAACTGAGTAAGTACCTTTGGGGAAATTTGCTGGGAAGTTTTTAATGATTGGATTTTCTTCAAGAATATAAATTATTTTACTAGTTTATCTCCAACTGTTCAAAAGTTAGATATAAAGTTATATCTAACTTGAAGCCTCGATCTATATTTTAATTTCGTGAAACATTAATTCCGTGAAAACACGAAGATCCAGCTGAAATATCATGAATATTGATCTGAATGGGAATTTATTTATTTATTTATTCAGTAATATTACAATCTGTCGCATGGAAAATAATTATAGTGAGGCAGGGGTGCCCCCCTACCCTTCCCTTCCCTCCTCCCAAGATATTTTATTGCTCATCTTTTCTTAAAAACAGAGCAAGCTAAAGTAGAATTAGAAAAACCGTAGATCATGTACATTTGCACTTGCTGCGGTATTTTCCATTTTTTCTCCTTTGTCTCTTAGTCAGAAAATTTTATTATATACAATCAGGCAGGGAACCACAAGCCAGGCATGTTCCTTCAACTATAGAGGGAAAAGCAGAACTCCAAGACATGAATAAGAATAGCTCACAATATTATTCAATTATTGAATCGGTTATTTCAGTAATGAAACTTCATTGGCGCAGATTTTTTCATTCGATTGTGGGTGGAGTCGTATATTATGTGCTACTAAAAACTTATGAAACCCATTTTCTTTAAACTCGAATCGTAAGATAGTATAACTAAGTCGAAAAAAAGAGTGGCCTATAAAAATATTGGTCCGTTTGTCGTGACCTCCCCTCTCAAAATATTCAGCTTATATAGGTTGAACGACTACGTTTTTAAAGGCCACCTTTTTTTTCCTTTTTTTTTTTTGTGATCTTATATTACGATAGTGGAAAGTAAACGGACATTCGTGCGTTTTTAGTACCTAATTAAATAGACACAGTTTGCCGACCTACAGATTCAAAACGCCCCAATTCCGAGAATCTACAGGCTACAAGACTATAAAATTCGATTACTTAGAGTTTCCTAAAAGATTCTTTCTATAGCGTCTCAATTTATTTTTCCAATAGATTTTTACTTCATCGATGACTTATCCCGGATTTTCATGTTATTGCACATTTTGTTCGATTAAGTGTCAAAAATTCAAACTATCCGTTTCAGGATCTGTAGAATAACATATTGAAATTTCATTTTCTACGTTTTGGCTTTTTCGGGCTTAACTGCACTTTTTTTTTTTTGTTGCATCATATTGCATATTTTTAACATTGGGCTAAATTTTAATTTTAATAGTATAAGGTAAAATACTTGAACCAAATTTTTTTAATAATATGTACGTAGGACACACTCGTTATTACTTCAATTTATAGGCCTTATTATAAATAATGCAGATAGATATTTTGAACCAGCTGTAATGCGGATTCCAACGAGGTTCGATAAATGTAAAGGTCATCAAACAGATTCGGTTTGTTCAGTTGCGTGATAACTTATCATTCCATTCGATAAGCTGTCCTGTCTCTTCGATTACGTAGCAAATCGAAATGGAAATGTTCGAGCTTGCATGCTAAATAAAACCTTATCGTTAACATTGGTACACTTATGAACAAATTAACAGACCCAATTTTCAGTGTTATATTAGCGCGGCAACGAACCCGACATCCTACCGACCGCTGCTCCTATAATTACTACTGCAAAAAATTAAAACTGGAATTAGCCACCTTCAGATCACAATCCTTCAACTCCTACCTATCCTCCCTCTCTTCTCGCGACAATTCCCTTTGGAAAACCACAACAAAAATCCTAAATCCTCACCGCATTTCCCATCCTCTCCGACGAGGTGATGGCTCCTGGGCAGCATCTGACGAAGATAAAGCTGAGGAGTTCGCCATTCACCTATCCAATACATTTATTTCACATCCGGAATCCCATCCTGCCCACACCGTAACAGTAGAAGAACTCCTTACATCACCAATCCCACTTTCCTTGCCCCCAAAAGCTATTCATCCTTCCGAAGTAAAATTTCAATTAAAAAAACTAATCCTCCGTAAAGCTCCTGGACATGATCTCCTTACACCTCAAATCCTTCGACAACTTCCATCCAAAGCAGTCATATTCCTTACATATATCTACAATTGTATCCTACGCACCACCCACTTCCCTCTGTTATGGAAACACTCCACTATTATCCTTTTCCCAAAACCAGGAAAACCTCTCAATAGCTCAACATCCTATAGACCAATCAGCCTACTCTCAATCCTTTCAAAAATTTTTGAAAAGATCCTTCTGAAACGAATCCTACCCATTATAGAATCCCAGAATATCCCTTCCCATCAGTTTGGTTTTCGCTCTCAACATTCTACTGTCCAACAAGGACTCCGAGTTGTTGATCATATTTCCTCAGCCCTAGAAAACAAGGAATACTGTTCGGGTGCCTTTCTGGACATTGCACAGGCATTTGACCGGGTATGGCACTCCGGACTGCTCTCCAAGCTTAAAATCCATTTACCTCAGTCCTTGTACCTAGTCCTCCGATCCTACCTCTCTGACCGCTCCTTTCGAGTTCGCTGTGGAACAGAATTTTCCAATATCTACTCCGTTAAAGCCGGTGTTCCCCAAGGCAGCGTCTTGGATCCCGTGCTTTACATCCTCTTTACTGCTGACATCCCTGTTCATCCCGATACTTTTCTTGCAACATTCGCTGACGACACCGCAATCTTATCATCCAACTCTGATCCCGAAATAGCATCCTTAAATCTCCAAAGTCATCTCACCTTGATTGAGCACTGGTGTAATAACTGGCGCATTAAAGTTAATGAATCTAAATGCCAACATATTACTTTTACACTCCGACGCAATTCCTGTCCACCAGTACTCTTTAATTCCATCCAGCTTCCTTATTCAGACACAGTCCGGTATCTTGGCTTTTATTTAGACCGAAGACTAACTTGGAACCCGCATACTAGACTCAAAAGACAAGAACTCAACCGACGATACGGCCAACTATACCGACTACTAAGCAGAAAATCTAAACTTTCCATTGAAAACAAGCTACTGATCTACAAGACAATACTGAAACCTATTTGGACTTACGGACTAGAACTGTGGGGATCAGCAAAATTTTCTAACATCAAGCGCATCCAATCCTTCCAGTCTAAAGTCCTTCGAACAATAGTCGATGCTCCTTTCTATGTATCCAACAAAACCCTACATCATGACCTTAATATCCCATTTGTCCTAGACCTTATCCCAGAAAAGTTCTCCAAATTTCACCAGAACCTTACTTACCACCCAAATCCTCTTGCACAATCCCTATCAAGCATCTCCCATCCCTATAATCCTCCAAGAAGGTTGAAACGGCAGTGGCCTCGCGACCTTTTGTAAATTATATAAATTGGAGTTCTGGCAATGGCCAGATTCTTCACTCAAGACATGTGTGTATGTGGCTAAAGTGCTCTCGACCAATCTCAGCTGGCTTTAGTACCAGTGAAGCGGTTGGAAGAGTAGCGCAGGGTTCTCCTGGAGTTCCCTCGCCTGATTGTATATAGGTATGCATGTTATTTTTTTTTTTTTCCTTAGTTTTAATTTTCTTATTTTTTAGGTTATTTTATTTTATTGTCTATTGTATATACTTTTGATTATTATTTTGTTCTATTTATTTTTTTTTTTTTTGTACATATGGTGTGAATGTCATCCTACCTCACTATAACCAATGTCGAACAGACAGATTGTTATAATACTCAATAAAGAAATTTAAAAAAAAAAAAAAAAATAAATATTAGCGCGGAAAACTCTTCAAATCGATATGTATCAATTCTGTTGATAATGATGCATTCTTAAGGAGTTAATAATAATAATAATAATTTATTTATTCTGGGGCTAAAGAAGAGCCTCAGAGATACATAAACAAAAATACAAAGTAATTAAGTAGTCACAATCCCTCAAAATTGTATCGATTCGAATTCATTGCATTTGGCATTATGATACCGTATGGATTTCAAAACAGTTTAAATTTAATTTTCGAATACAGTTTGAATATTTATATATTTATACAATTTGAAACCTTATTGTGTAAATATATAAATAACCTCCCTATACAGAGTATTTCAGGGTTAAGTGGCCAAACTGCGAAAATGAACTAAGGACCTCAAAACACGAAAACAATTTCCTCTGAAGGTATGTCCGCAAACGATTTGTTTAGGAGATATTCACACCTAAAACCTATTTATTTGTTCTAACTATTT